GCACACACACAGTTCGTCCAGGCCAGTGCACACGCGCTCCGTCAATAATGCGATATGGGGGAGAGCCAATTAAGTGTGATTCTGCCAACTTCTTTCTGCGATGCGGAATGTGGTCTGCTAGTGCGCGCATTCAGCACAAGGTGCTTGCGTGACTGCACAAACACACGTGAACTGATGCACTCCGCACGCCCCGAGCTTGGCACAAAATTAGCTTTCCCATGAGAAATGTACACGGACCGAGTGAATGGTGATGCAGGTACCAGGGCACCAAAGAGGAGATAATGCTCCGGTGACAAGTTAAGGACGTCAGGAACCAGGTAATCAGATGAGTTAAGTCGGATAACGATAATCAGCGAGCATCATATAGAAAACGGCCAAAAATTTACCAAACAGGCCTTAGTCGGCGTATAGAGGTCACCTTAGGGAGCAATTTAAGTGTATGACACTCCGGACAAAGCTGACGCACGCAGCGCATTTAACGGTTCAAAGTCGCGTGGGACTGACGTTCCCCGACCTGTTCTCAGTGACGGCGCTCAACGACGATCTTCGACTCCAGTTTAAAACTTAGGGCTTACCGGGTAGGAAAACAGGTAGAAGCAGCTATACCGGTTCCCCCTCCCCTCGCCTTGACGATGGCACCTCTTACACTACACGAGTGAATGGACCTGACAGCCTCGAACAGGACCGCTCATAGCATCGCGAGAACAGACATTGGCTGCCGCAACAAGTGCTGTGGTTAACAAAAAAACTGCACAGCAGACATTGTCGAAAGCGTAATTGAGAAGGATGATTCGCCTGAAAAAAAATAACCGAGACAACTAGCAGACATGAATATCGCCAATACGCCTAATCAACCCGGACAAGACGCACAGAGGCCACCTTTAAATGTTAGTAGATTTCAGCAACGAAATGGGAGGGGTCACAGTAGCAAATTTTTATTACATGATTCGCATTAATATCCTATCAATCAAGTGAAGCTGCCCACCACGTTTTACAGGTGGGCGTACTGTAGAGAGCTCGGGTGCGCGCGCAGTCGTGGCCAGGACAGTGGGTTGGCACGCACGTACACTGTATACCGCGGCCACCGTTGCCAAGAGAGGCATTGGGGGTTGGGGCATA